GGGCTCGTGAGATCAGCCAGGGTGGCTCCCCCTTGGGGCTCCCAAATGATGCCCCTGGCAGCGTTTTGTGACCATGAGGCTCTCAAGAGATACATGTTGGGGAGGCCAAACGGCAATTCTAGCTGAGGCGTCCCACCAAAATCGGCGCGAACGGGCTCGTGAGATCAGCCAGGGTGGCTCCCCCTTGGGGCTCCCAAATGATGCCCCTGGCAGCGTTTTGTGACCATGAGGCTCTCAAGAGATACATGTTGGGGGCGCCAAACGGCAATTCTAGCTGAGACGTCCCACCAAAATCGGCGCGAACGGGCTCGTGAGATCAGCCAGGGTGGCTCCCCCTTGGGGCTCCCAAATGATGCCCCTGGCAGCGTTTTGTGACCATGAGGCTCTCAAGAGATACATGTTGGGGGCGCCAAACGGCAATTCTAGCTGAGACGTCCCACCAAAATCGGCGCGAACGGGCTCGTGAGATCAGCCAGGGTGGCTCCCCCTTGGGGCTCCCAAATGATGCCCCTGGCAGCGTTTTGTGACCATGAGGCTCTCAAGAGATACATGTTGGGGAGGCCAAACGGCAATTCTAGCTGAGACGTCCCACCAAAATCGGCGCGAACGGGCTCGTGAGATCAGCCAGGGTGGCTCCCCCTTGGGGCTCCCAAATGATGCCCCTGGCAGCGCTTTGTGACCATGAGGCTCTCAAGAGATACATGTTGGGGGCGCCAAACGGCAATTCTAGCTGAGACGTCCCACCAAAATCGGCGCGAACGGGCTCGTGAGATCAGCCAGGGTGGCTCCCCCTTGGGGCTCCCAAATGATGCCCCTGGCAGCGTTTTGTGATCATGAGAGAGTGTGAGTGTGAGCTTAACTTATCTTATCTTGTCTTGAAATCTCTTCTTATCATATCTTGTGCTACCTTATCTTATCTTGTAGTATCTTATCTTGTAGGAGGGACGCGCGAGCGGGAGGAAGGAGTCCGCGCGTGGGAGGCGTCAGAGTAATAACAAGAACCCCAATCCTTAGGATATGGGGAAAAACGTGGCGAAGTGCGCGCGCGTTGTTGCGCGCGCCGAAACCTTTCAAATCTATGGCGCCCTTATGATCCCAAAACCGATAATCACGAACGCGCATGAAAAATATGGTTCCGCTACGCGGGCAATCAAAAAAAAGCCCGCGCCAACGCTCTCGCGAATTTGCGAAAACCAAGCGTCTTCAATCATGCCATCGAAAACTACCACGCGGGCCTCTCGCGCGCGCAAATCGAAGTCGCTCGAACGCCGCCGCGCGCGCGATGTCGCAGAAATCCCCTGGACTCCCCCCAAAAACAACAAAAAATGCCAAACAACGGCGGAGGGCGCGCGCGCGCCGAAGTTTTTGAACAACTTTCGGCTTCGCGAGGATATCAGAATCGAGCGAGCCGACGACATCTGCGAATCTATGGCATTGCAACGTCAGATTTCCGAACAAAGCCAGCGTTCGCGGCCTTGCGGGTTCTTGAAATGTCAATTTATATTTTTCCTTGAATTCTGACGGGCGGGCCCCTCGCGCCGCGCGTCGTATTCATTCGAGCGCCTTTGCGCGCGTGCTGGGGGGGGGGGGGGGGGGCGATCCGCGTCGAGGAATGCCGCGCGGGCCACTCGCGCGCGTCGGCCGCGCGCGCGCGTCGAACTCCTTTAAAGACGCCCATCGCCGACCCGAGAACATCGTCATCGTTGTCGGCGGGATCGATCGGCATCGGCGCCGCCATCTGCCTTGCCGTCGTCGTCGCCGCCGTCGTCGCCGGCGACGCTGCTTCCCTGGTCGCGCCCGCCGTTGTCCGCGTCGCCGCGATGCCGCGCCCGCCCAACGCGCCAACTCGCACTGAAGTGGCCGCTGCGACGCGCCCGGCGGTCAGCGCCAGCGCGGCCGCGCCGGTCGCGCCAAACAAGCTGGCCGCTGCGCACGCGAGCGCGCGCGGGCATGCGCGGCCGTAGATGCGCCAGCCAACGCCAAGCACTCATTGCAATCGCCGCCGCGCGCGCTTTGCAAGCCACGTTGCGGGCGGGTTGGCGGATCGCGCGCAAGGGCGTGGAATTCGCCGGCGCATTTGTGACAATCTGTGGGGATGCAGTAGATTGCCGCACATTGCTTGCGCAACGTAGCTTCTCCTTTTTCATTGGAGACCATAGACTCTACCCTCCCCCTTTCCCCGAGATCATCCGCCCTCCTTTTCGCGTTGCAATGCGCGCGTGATTCTGCCCCATCGCTCATCCTGAACACGAATTCGCACCGCCCCCGCTCGACCGGCCCCGCCCCCCCCCGCCGCCCTCGTCGCCGAAGAAAAAAACGCGCGCGCGCCCGCTTGCCACCAATCATCAATTTTCAAACGTTGCCTGCAATAATTTGGACGAAAAGCGCGCGCGCGTCGTCGCGCGCGCACGCGGACGTAGAGGGCGAAAAATATGGAAACAAAAAACAGTTGCACAAGGATTCCGAAATCGAATGCAAGAAAAGCACGATAAATAAAACGCATCAGGTTTTGCAGCGCGGGCCATTGCACAAAGCTTGCGCGCGCGCAAGTTTTCCAGCGCGCCCAGAACATGATGCAGCGCAAGCTTCGAGCGCCCGCGCGCGCGCATATTCGAAAATCGCTGAAGGGCCCTCGCGCGCAGTCGGGGGAGCGCGCGCGTCCCGAAATCAGCCAAAAACCTTCGGTTTCGCAGCGACTTCCCAACTGAGCGTTCCGAACACAGTTCGCACACACATGGTTTTTTGTAACGTTGATAAACGAAGAGTAAACGTGCGCTCGCGCTCTTACATATTCTTAAGAAAACCATGCGTTTCGCAACATGTTCATGGAATTATGCCCAGCGGGGCCCTTGCGCCGCGCGCCGACATCGCCCGCGCGCCCTTGCGCGCCGCGCCCGCTCAAGTCGCCGACTCGCACTGAAGTGCCCGCCGGGGTGCGCCCAGCGGCCAGCGCCGCCGCGGCCGCGCCAGCCGCGCCAAACTAGCTGGCCGCTGCGCGCGCGTGCTGGGGTTAGCGCGGCCGCAGAGACTGACCAGCCAACGTCAAACGCTCATCGCAATCGCCACCGTATGGGTTTTGCAGACCAAGTTGCGGGTGGCTGAGTTTTTTTTTTTTTGGCGAGAGCATGAACTGCGTCAACTCGTTTGTAAGTATCAATTTCGCGGCATCTATTGCACCACGTGTATCGCATAACGTAATTTGCACCACGTGGACTGCGCGACATCTATCGCGCTACATAGTAGTGCACAGCTCAAATTGCGCCCCATAGCGCACAACATAGACTGCACTACATTTATCGCACCGCACATATTGCCCCGCGTAGCTTGCACAACATTGAATGCACCACGCGACTTGCACAACATGCGTTGCACCACGTAGTGCGCACGCCATATACTGCACCACAGCGGTTGCGCCACATTTACTGCGTCACTAAGACTGCGCCGCGTAGCTTGCGCAACACATGATGCACCGCATACCTTGCGCATCGCAGGCTGCATAACATACATTGCGCCACGCCTATTGCACCACAGGGGTTGCAACGCCTTGGTGATCTCCGCGAACAACAAGACATGATACGATTTACCTCCCCGCCCCACCGTCTTAACTGTCATCCTCTTCGTATTGCAATGTGCGTGCGATTTCGTCCCATCGTCCATCCAACTTATGAAATCGCGCCATGCCAGGCAGCCGGTATCCCCCCCACCCTCTGAACAAATGTTGCGGGCGCACCCTCTTCTCAAATATCGTTAGCTCCCAAAAAACATCGCAACACATTGGGACGAAGTGCGCGCGCGCCCGTCGCCGCGCGCACATGCCGAAATCCTTCAAACAACTCAATGTGGGTAGGAACTTAAAATCGAATGTGCCGAGCACATATAAACACATGGTCCCCCACCGAGGGATTGCAAACCGACCTGCGCCCGCGCTCTTGCAACTTCTCTGGGGAAGCCAGAAGTTGTTTTTTTTTTTTTCAACCATTTCGTCAGACGCTACCACACGAGCCTCTCGGGCGCGCATGTCGAGATCGCTCGAACGCCCTTGGGCGCGTGCTGACGCATGAGCGCCTTGCAACAAAAAAGGACGGAATGCACGCGCGCGCGTCGTCGCGCGCATGCGACAATCCTTCAGAACCGTTCGGTTTTGCGGGGGTGTCCCAATCGAGTGTCCCGAAAGAAACCTACAAAGACACATGGCTTTCCAACGTCAATGTTCAAACCTGCTCGCGCTCAATTCGGCCAAACGGGCATCTCGCGCCGCATGTCGAAATCATTCGAATGGCTTTTGCGCGCGTGCTGAGAGGGGGGGGGGGGCACGATCCGTGCCAAATAATACCATGCGGGCCGCTCTCGCGCGTCGGCCGCGCGCGCATTTCGAATTCCAAGACCTCCATCACCGACGCGAAGACATAGTCATCGTCGCCGGCGTGATCAACATCGGCGCCGTCATTGGCCTTGCCGTCGTTGTTGCCATTATCGTCACCAGCATCGCTAATACCGTCATCGTATCTACAGGTGTCGTCGTTGCCATGGTACCGCGCCCGCCCAAGTCGCCGACTCGCAGTTAAGTGCCCGCTGGGCAGTGCCCAGCGGTCAGTGCCACCGTGGCCGCGTCGGTCGCGCCAATCCAGTTGGGGCCGTTTCGCGCGCGAGAGGTGTGCGGGCTAGCGCGGCCGCAAAGATGCACCAGCCAACACCAAGCACTCATCGTAATCGCCGTCGCATGGGTTTTGCAAACCAAGCTGCGGGTGGCAGGTGGGATGGTTGCGCGAGCAGTGGAATTGATAACTCACTGCGAACACAAAATAATTGCACCACAGACTTTGCACCACATCGATTGTACGACATATATTGCTACAACAACGCTGCTGTGGGTCCACGTTGGCTAAAATGTTTTCGTGTTCCCTCATTCTGTCTGCGTTACGCATTTAAGGCAAAACGAAGCCAACAAAAATAACGGTCCACGATATCGCGCAAACACCGTTTAGATCGCGCACTGGCTCCTCGGCCCGGCGCCGGATGACGTCCAGCACCTCTTGTGGTCTCACAAGTTGGGTCTGGATAGATGCGGTCGGAGGATCGCGCCGCATCGCCCAGGAATCGCCCATACATCGGGAATGCATCGGCGACGTCGGCGATGCATCGGCGCCATCGGCGTGGATGGACTCAGGCTTTACGTTGAGCCGCATCGTCGATGCGGCGCAATCCTCCGATCCCATCGCCCTGGATGGGACAATCATCGCGCCCCCCCTTGGATCTGCTGGGTGGGTTGGGCACGTGCTGTCGGAATGGGTGGAAGGGGGGTTAGAGGAAGAGGGGGAGGATGAGGAGGGGGGGGGGACGCTTCCTGTCTTCCCAAGCCCCCGAAAGGGGGTCCTCATTTAGTGGGCAAAGAACGGTACAACATGACATTGTCCGCCACCGGGTGCGCCTGTCCCCCAGGCGGCTGGAGAGCTTATGCTCTCTAACAGGCGCGCCCGACGGCGAACAACAATCATCTTGTACCGCTCTTCCCCCGCCAACTCATGTCGGGAGCGGCCAAGGAGGGGGGTGTCCAAGAGGGGGGGGGTGCCAATCATGACCGGCGGCATGTGCGCGGCCCAGCGGGGGGGGCAGGGACGTAATGGAACAAGAAGAGGCGCCATGACATCTGGGGAAATATGATGGCCCCCGACATGATATCCCCCCCCCCCTAGTCATCACCCCCCTCTTTGCCGCCCCCGATCACGGCCGCGTCTCGGCGCAGCCAGAGAGGCGGCCAGGGTTGGGCACCGGGCGGGGTCCAGGGGCCAGCCGGCCCTGCGGTGCGGACGGGGCTTATGTGGCTGGGGGGGCAGGGCCGGGGGGGGGCAGGCTTCTATTCTAAGAACGCCCCCCTGCCTCTCAGAACTGGGGGGCACAGTCAGGGGGGACCATCTCAAGGGGGGAAACATCGACCTGGAATCGGCGATACATCGCCGATAGATCGGCGATGGACCCCCGATCGCAAATCCGCACGTTCCTGGGCGGGGTGGGGCTTTCTCCCTCTTTCGCTGCTCCTGGAGAAACGCCCCCCCCCCCCCCCGCCTGCCAAGAGGCCATCTTGGAAGCCTCTGGAACGGGCAGGGAACCTCTGAGAAGCTCCCCCGCCCTGTAAGAAGGCCGTGCCCCTCACCTGGCCCCCTCCTGCGCGCCGGCGGACCTTGCCGTGCCAGAGGTCCGGGTTCTCCAGGATCTCGTGGCGCGAGGAGTCTTCCCCGAACGTCTCTACGAGAATGCACCGCACGAGCGGCGACTCGTTCCGCTCGCGCTGGTTGTGGTCCTGCACCAGATGGATGTAACCCAAGCACTGGATTTCCTCGTACTCCCGCACGGAATTGAAGAGCTTGCGCTGGCGCGCCTTGTGCTCGATGATGTGCATCTCGCTCTCGCTGCTGCTGGCACCCTCGACGGTCCGCAGCGCGTCGATCTTGCCTCTGAGTAGGAGGCCTGGCGCAATCGTGGACTTGAACATCCCGCTGGGCCTGACGATGAACGGAGACGAGAGCGCGGACTCCTGCTTACCGAGAGCCTGGATCTCGGCCTTGAGCTCTTCCTGCGCCCTCTGCACCGCCACCTCGTCCACCGTCGTCTCGACCTGTTTCTGCTCTACCTCTATTAATTCCTTCTCCAATGTTGCCACCCGCTTATTAAGCCGCCAGCACCTCTTGCGGGGGCCGTCAGGCTGCAAGGATCAAGTTTCAACATCCAGGCGGCATATATTCTATCAGTGCAATGAGACAATTTGCACTTGCATCTGTATCGTTCTTAAGCGTTCAGCAACTTGGTAACGCGAGCTTCTCGTCACCCGCTCACAGCGCACAGAGTTGCTCATCTCTGTGCTCCTGGACAAAGGTGGCGGCGACGGGGCAACACACCACGCGCTCCCCGCCTGGGCCAGGCAGGCACGCTCCGCGAGCCGCATGCTGCTGCTGCTAACGGTTGATGAAGGTAGTCCTGCAACCGCCTGTTCGAGCAGCATCCCGATCCTCTCAACCAGGTCGCAGCTCGCACATCCATTCGGCACACCTCTTGCCCACAGCGGGACGCCGCGCACCGCACGGCAGGAGGCGGACGTCGGCCGAGGGGTGCCCTGGCGCACGCGAAGAAAACAATTGGCCTGCGCCACCACCCACGGCCAGGATTTCTTCCAGAAAATTTTGAATCGCGCTCCCGACGCCAGAGTTCAGAGTAAAGAGTGTTAGCCAGCGTGGGCCCCAAGCAATGAGAGATTGCACTGTGGATGTGTAGGCTATGTGGTGCAGACTATGTGGTGTGAGCTATGTGGCAAAAGCTTCGCGGTGCAGCCAAGAAGCGGCAACGAGGCAGAACCGGGCGACAGCGTGGCGAAACCGCTCTGGACCCACCCAGCGCACGAGGCGGCAACGACGCGGCAACGTGGCGAAACCTCGCCGGACACAACCAACGCACGAGGCGGCAACGCGGCGGCAACGGGGCAAAACCTCGCTGGACCCACCCATCGCGCGAGGCGGCAACGAGACGGCAATGGGCGGCCGCGTGGCGAAACTTCGCCGGACCCACCCAGCGCATGAGGCGGCAACGGGCGGCAACGTGTTGAAGTCTCGCTGGATCCAACGAACGCACGAAGGGGCAACGAAGCGGCAACAGGCGGCAACGTGAAAACCTCGCTGGACCGACCCAACGCACGAGGCGGCAACGAGGTGGGACCTTGGCGAAACCTCACCAGACCGACCCAGCGCACAAGGGGGGGTAACGTGGCGAAACCTCGCCAGACCCATCCAATTCCTTCCAGGCAGAAGAAAGAATCCCTCGGTGCAAGCATTTTTGGGCAAGAGCTATGATCTGATGTTTTATTCTGATGGCCCCCATCACAAGACTGCTGTGACAAATTTCGAAGTTAGTCGCGTGCGACTATGCAGCATGATCTGTTACAGTCTTGCCTCTGTCTGACAGCTGCGCATGTCTGCATATTTGGTCAACAGGCATGCTATGTTACTTACTACTTGCGCGCATCGTTGTATAAGTAATGCCTGTGCTATGTTATGTGTGTCTCTGGCGTTGGAGATTGTCTTTATATTGTGTTTATGTGTTGGATTCCTGTTCGGTTCATTTTAAAACATGGACTTGCTAGAAACACATGGTGTATGTCTTGCTGTATGCACTTCATGCGTGTTATTGTTTAACGCTGTTGCTGCACGGGCTTAGTGTACGTGATTGATGGGTGGATAATGGGTAGTGGTGTGCTCTTGGCACAGACACGTACGCATACATACACGTATATGCGCATACGTGACAGGAGACTTACTACGGTGTGCCATAGGTGTGTTCTTATACTGCCGTATGTAGTTCGCGTACGGTAGTGGCGGATATGTTTGATGATGATGTTGGGCATGTAAGTGTTGACGCATGTTCTCGAATCAGAGCTTCCCTCTGGAGGGGTTCTAGCGAATTCATATGATTAGGTGAGGTGTGCCGCAAATTTCCGCGGCCCGCATGGGCGCCCGGGTGCCCGGGTGCCCGGGTGACCAGGTGCTCGGGTGCCCAGGTGCCTTACAACCCTATAGCCCTATAGCCTCTTAGCCCTATAGCCCCTTAGCCCAGTAGGCCCATAGACCTATAGACCTATAGCCTTATAGCTCTATAGCTCTATAGCCCTATCGCCCTGTAGCTTTCTAGCCCAGAAGCCCTATCGCCCCATAACCCTATGGCCCTATAGCCCAGAAGCCCTATAGCCTTATAGCCCTATAGCCTTATAGTCCTATAGCCTTAAAGCTCTATATGCCTACCTATACGACCACCCTGCGGGTGATAAGGTTGGGGGGGGAGGGGGGGCCTGCAATTCGGCCCACTATCGCTTTCACAATCGATCTCACTCGTTCGATCACACTATCGATCTCACTATCGATCCCATTCAATCGATCTCACTCTCGATCTCACTATCGATCTCACTATAGATCTCACTATCGATCTCACTATCGGTCTCATTCTCGATCTCACTATCGATCTCTCACTATAGAACTCACTATCGATCTCACTATCGGTCTCATTCTCGATCTCAATATCGATATCACTATCGATCTCACTGTCGATCTCATCACGGAACACCACGGGACAACGACGGGACACTGGCGGGACACCAACGGGACACCAGCGGGACACCGGCGGGACACCGCGCGCCACCCGTTGCCGGGCGGAGAACCTTTTGGTCAGGCCGCGGCCCAGCCACGACGGGACACCGGCGGGACACCGGTCACCAGCGGGACACCAGCGGGACACTGGCGGGACACCGCGCGCCACCGGTTGCCGGGCGGAGAACCTTTTGGTCCAGCCGCGGCCCAGCCACAGGAGAATTTCCTCTCCCCCGCCCGCGCAGCTTCGCCTCGCCCGCACGCGCGGCACGAACACGAAACCGAAATCGATTTCCCGGTAGGGGGGCTCTCCGTTCCACTTCGATCTCACCCCCCAACCTCCGATCTCGCTATAGATCCCACTCGATCGATCTGACTATGGATCTCACTATCGATCTCACTATCGATATCACGATCGATCTCACTATAAATATCACGATCGATACCTCACTATAGATCTCACTATCGAGCTCAATATCGGTCTCATTATCCATCTCACTATCGATCTCACTATCGATCTCACTGTCGATCTCACCACGGGATACCACGGGACAACGACGGGACACTGGCGGGACACCAGCGGGACACCAGCGGGACACCGGCGGGACACCGCGCGCCACCCGTTGCCGGGCGGAGAACCTTTTGGTCCGGCCGCGGCCCAGCCACGACGGGACACCGGCGGGACACCAGCGGGACACCAGCGGGACACCGGCGGGACACCGTGCGCCACCGGTTGCCGGGCGGAGAACCATTTGGTCCAGCCGCGGCCCAGCCATAGGAGAATTTCCTCTCCCCCGCCCACGCAACTTCGCCTCACCCGCACGCACGGCACGAACACGAAACCGAAATCGATTTCCCGGTAGGTGGGTTCTCCGTTCCACTTCGACCTCACCCCCAACCTCCGATAACCTTACATATACGACCACTTTTCGGGTGATAAGGAGGTTCGGGGGGGGGCGGGGGGAACCAACGTCTCACTCGATCGGTCTCACTATCGATCTCAGTATCGATCTCACTATCGGTCTCGCTCGATCGATCTCACTCGATCGACCTCACAATCGATCTCACTCGATCTATCTCATTCGATCAATCTCACAATTGATCTCACAATCGATCTCACAATCGATCACACAATCGATCTCGCATCCGGTCTCAATATCGATCTCACTATCGATATCACAATCGCTCTCACAATCAACGTCATCATCATCATCATCATCATCATTATTATCATCATCATCATCATCATAAGCATCATCAACATCATCAACATCAACATCATCACCAACATCGTCATCATCATAAGGGCACCGTCATCATCACCATCAGACAAATCATCATAAACGTCAGCATCATCATCGGGACAACATCATCATCATCATCATCATCCCATCATCATCATCATCGGGACACAGTCATCGACATCATCATCAGCAGCATCATCATAATCATCATCATAATCGGGACACCATCATGATCACCATCGTTCTCATCACCAAAATTATCATCAACATCGTCATCATCATCGGGGCACCATCATCATCATCATGATCATCGCATCATCATCGACATCATCATCATCATCAACAGCATCATCATCATTGGGGCACCATCATCATCATAACCAAGATCATCATCAACATCGTCATTATCATTATTATCATCATCGGGACACCATCAGCATCACCATCATCATCATCATCATCACCATCATCATTATCATCATCATCATCATCATCATCAACATCATCATCGGAACACCATAATCATCAACATCATCATCAACAACAACATTATCGCCGGGACACCATTTCCATCAACATCATCATCACCAACATCATCGGAATCATCATCATCATAATCGGGACACCATCATCGTCTTCATCATCAACATAATCATCATGAGAATCATCATCCTCATCATCGGGACACTATCATCATCGACACCATCATCAACATCTTCATCATCTTCATCGGGACACCGTCATCATCATCTCATCATCATCATCATCATCATCATCATCATTATTATTATTATCATCATCTCATCATCATCCTCGCGGGACACCGCGGGACACCGGCGGGACACCGCGGGACGCCGCGGGACACCGCGGGACACCGCGGGACACCGGCGGGGCACCGCGGGGCCCAGGCCGCCCAGAAGGGAATCATTTGGTCTGGCCGCGCCTCAGCCACAGGAGGACACCGCGGGACACCGGCGGGACACCGCGGGGCCCCGGCCGCCCGAAGGGAGTCATTTGGTCCGGCCGCGCCTCAGCCACAGGAGACTTTCTCTCGCCCGCCCACGAAGCTTCGCCTCGCCCGCACGCACGGCACGAACACGAAACCGAAATCGATTTCCCGGTAGGGGGGCTCTCCGTTCCACTTCGATCTCACCCCCCAACCTCCGATAGCCCTATAGCCCCATAGCCCTCTGTATCCCTATAGCCCTATGGTCCTATAGCCACATCGCCCCATAGACTCATAGCCCTATGGCCCTATAGCCTTATAGCTCTATAGCCCTATAGCCCTATAGCCCCATAGCCCTATAGCCCTACAGCCCTATAGCCCTATTGCACTATAGCCCTATAGCCCTATCGACCTATAGCCCTTAGCCCTACAGCCCTATAGCCCTGTGGCCCTGTAGCGCTATAGCCCTATAACCCTATAGACCTATAGCCCTATGGCTGTATAGCCCTACAGCCCCACAGCCCCATAGCCCAATCGCCCTATAGCCCCATAGCCCTGTAACCCTATAGACCTACAGCCCTATGGCTGTATAGCTCTACAGCCCCACAGCCCCATAGCCCCATCGCCCTATAGCCCAATAGCCCCATAACCCTATGACCCTAAAAACATGTTGAAACGGTTTTTCTCCGGTATCATTATGGAGATGTGGTGTAGGTGTGAGGAATTGAAAGACATTCCTGGTGAGTGTGTGTGTGTGTGTGCCTGTTGTCCGTGCTCGGTGCATGGTAACAATATGTATTTAGTCAAGGTGCATGTGCGTACTGTATGGGGCTGATGTTGGTACGGGAGTGTATTGGTGATGTATGCCCTGCATGCACGGAAATACACAATGTTCTTGATGACCGTTGCTAATGCGTGTTCGTAGCGTGTTGCTGCAGACAAAAGTGTGCTCTTGATGTCTGCTACTGCGGTCCTAGATGTATGAGCTGGTCGTGCTATACTACTGTATGCTATGCCAATGTACGTTATTAGTGCGGCTTTGATATGCCAGCATGCCTGCTGCTTGAATATGCTATGTACGCATCATCTTGGTGTCTGCTGACTGCTGACATCGCCTGCTACGGTCACAACGTGTGCATATTCTTGGTCCAGTATTGGTATGTTACTGTTGCCTGTGCTTGATGTGTGGTTGACGACTGTCCTTGATGATGTGTGTGCGTGTGTTCTTGAAGTCTAGTGGTGTGCCATCTTGGTATATGGGTGTGGTGTCTGAACCTGGCCTGCATTACAATTGCGAATAACGGGAAGAGCGAGGTACGAGTAATGACGTTCTGGTGTGGGCGAAGCCCTAAAGGGAGGGGTTCCAGGGGAGGGGGGTAGCGGGCGCATTCGCGTGTTAATGGCCGTTTTCAGGTTTTCCCTCTGGTTTTTGCATGTTTTTCGGGTTCCCCCCCAAGACGGCCCAAGAGCGCTCCAAGAGAGCCCAAGACCGCCCAAAACTGCCCAAGAGGCCCCCAAGAGGCCCCCAAGAGGCGCCCAAGGGGCGTCCCAAGAGGGCCCCAAGAGGCCGAAATCATCGATTTTCCAAAGGAAAGCGTATATTTTTAGCATATGCGCTTTGTCGGCTTTCACGGCGTTGACGACGGCCCAAGAGGCCCCCAAGACCGCCCCAAGACGGCCCAAGAGGCTCCCAAGAGGCCCCCAAAACGGCCAAAGAGGGCCCCAAGACGGCCCATGAGGCGCTCAAGACGGCCCAAGAGGGCGCCAAGACGGGCCCAAGAGGGGACCACGAACCGAACAGTCTAGCCTTTCGCCCCAAGACGCTACCAGGAGGCCCCCAGAGCCCCCAAGAAGCCCCAAGAGGCCCCCAAGAGGCGTCCCAAGAGGCCACCGGGAGGCGAAAATCATTGATTTCCTATGGGAAAAGGTACAGTTTTAGCATACAAGGCTTTTCGGCTTTCACTGCGTTGAAGACGCTCCAAGAGGCCCCCAAGACCGCCACAAGACGGCCCAAGAGGCTCCCAAGAGGCCCCCAAAACGGCCCAAGAGGGCGCCAAGACGGCCCAAGAGGCGCTCAAGACGGCCCAAGAGGGCACCAAGACGGCCCCAAGATGGGGACCACGAGCCGAATAGTCTAGCCTTTCGCCCCAAGAAGCTCCCAGGAGGCCCCCAGAGCCCCCCAAGAAGCCCCGAGATGCCCCCAAGAGGTTCCCAAGAGGCCTCCAAAAGGGCCCGACAAGGGGTCCAATAGGACTCCCAAGAAGGCCCAGAGACGCCAATTGGAGAGCGATCGGTAACGCAAAAAGCTCCTCACACCAAGGCTCCCAAGAGCGAACGGTGACGTAAACAAGCTGATAAGACCAAGACTCCCAGCAGAGAGCGGTGACGTAACAAGTTCCTGACACCCAGGCCCAGCCAAGGCTCAGGAACGGGCGGCAACGCAACAATCTCTGAACACCAAAGCTCCCAAGAGCGAGGGGTGACGTAACAAGCTCTCAACGCCAAGGCTCCCAATACGAACGGTGGTGTGAGTAATTCCGGTTTCTGTTTCTGAAGCGCTCTTTCCGTTTCTGTGCCGGGCCAGGTTCTTGACGCCTGTTCTTAAAGTGTGTGGTTGCTACAGAAGAATGAATTATGGATGTAAGTCCTTGGTACACATTATTTATGCAGATTGCTATTTCTGTGTTTGGCTGTATGTCAGTGTAGTATAGTATTCGTGTACTTCCTCAGTGCCTGGGGACGGTGTAACGTCTTGACACCTGGACGGCGTGACGCCTCACTAGTGAGTATCTCCAGGGCGGGAGACTCGGGGACACAGGGGACTGGTTGGGCCTGTGGGTCGCGGCATGCAGGACTGGTGGGGCGGAGACTTGAGGACACTCGAGACTCCATGGGCCTGGCGGCTGCGGGCAGGGGGGTGGGCTTTGCGTTAAGCCTAATGACCCCAACCTGTCGGGTGGGGAAATATTGAACCGCACACACACACAAGCACGCACACACACACATACACACACAACAAAAAAAACGGCTCCTTGCAAAAAGGTCTAGGTCCGTGCTTACTTGGCCAAGTTCCTCGTAAAAGAAAAGGTCCGAAGCCCCAAGAACACCATCACTCGTAGAATGCAATGGGTCCGCGCCACGACCCTGCATTCAAAGCCATGGTTCCGAGCTAGCACCCAGGGCCAATATCTCACGTAAAAAGACACTGGGTCTGATCTGCCAAGGCCACACATTTAGCAACACGGGCGGTGGGTCTGCGCTCCTGACGCCAATATCAATTGTAAAAAACAAAAGCACCCGCGCCCTCGAAGCCGCGATTCCTCAGACAGAACTGCTTGCGAGCGTGAGCCCCGAACCATACGTTTTCGCACTCTCGTGGAAGCTGTGTGGCGGAGGCTATGTGGTGGAAGCACTGTGGTGGAAGCTACTTGTTGTAAGCTATGTAGTGGGATATAACCATGTGTGGCGGCAGCTATGTGGTTGAAGCTATGTGGCAACGCTTCGCGTTCACAAACATGCTGACAGAAAACTGGGCCCAAGCAGCAACGGGCGGCAAGAGGCCGGAACGTCGCGAATCCTCGGCGCCCGCACACAAGTGGCAACGGGCGGCAACGGGGGGGATCCTTGACACACTCAGACAAGCGGCAAAGGGCGACGACGGACAGCAACAGGCGGCAACGTGCCGGAACGTGGCGCATCTTTGAGGCACCAACCCAATCAGCTTGTGAGACAAGTGAGACCCTTCAGTGCAGCAAATGTTTGGGAAACGATGGGTCTGCGTTCCGAATCCGCCAACAAGCAACCACCCAAAACACCCACTCGCCTTTCAACCACCAACCAACTTGCCAACCAACCGGCTTGCCGACCAGCCATCCTGCCAACCAGCTGAGTTGCCAACCTGTAACCCTATCGCCCAGTGAGCCAATCAACCAACAAACCCCACTAAATCAGTCAGATGGTCAATCAAGAAGTGGGGAGAGGCGGCACGAGGCGGAACCGTTCAGATATTCACAGCACTCGTCTTCTCCGCCTTTTCGGCAATATGGAGGCCCCGCTTCTCGGACCTCCAGCCGCGCTGCTTCATTATCTGGCTCATCACAACCTTCGCGCTCTCCTTCGTCAAACCTGGGGCTGCAGTGCGGGGGTCTGCGTAGAAGACTGCCTGCTTGTTTTCGTCGGCGACTGCTTTCTCTCTCATTCTTCTCAGGGCTATCTGCTCGACCGGCTTCATCTTTTTGGTCTCCTCGGCTAAGATGTCTTCGTCAGTCAGGAGCCGCGGGTCCTCCTTCTTGGCCAGGCTGCTGTATAGTGAATTGAAGTTTTTCTTGATCAAACCCCGCCAAGCCTTCTGCATGGGCTGAAACTTGTTGCGCCCCGCCAGCGCAGCCACGTCGCTGCAGGCCAAGATGAGAGGCTTTCCGTCCCCCTGTCAAGGGCGGCCATTTCGTCCCAGGGTCCCCCGAAGAACACGACACGCGCTCTCGAAAAAACACGCATCACTACGGTAGAGGGAAACACTTAGTGAACACCCCCCCTGCCCCCCAAACTCAAAGTTGGCACGCGCGGGGGAGACTGCGGTCACAGCGCATCTCATCAGACCCACCACCAACTTTGAACATTGGGGGGAAGGGGGAGGCGTTGACAGATGAATGTGGCATGAATGTTCGCCAGTTTGTTCCGAGGCCTGTAAAGTCGGGGCGTTGACCTAAGGAACCCTACATAAGGAACGAGGCCCCTTTCTCCCATAAGTGGAACTTCGATTTTCCATGGGAAACCTCAGGAGAACCGAAGGCACACTGCAGAACATGCAAGGAACACCGAGCCCCTCCCCAACGAAAAGGGTTCCTTCTTCAGGGCCCTGACCGTCGCAACCCGAAGAACCGCTACGCAAAACGCATCACTCCGCGACCCGCTTGCGGGGGCTGCGTCGAAACGGCCGCCCTGCCTGCCCACGTGCGCAGGCGCGCCTCGGACAGGGACGCCTGCTCTCGGTCGAGCTGGCAAGAACCTGTCCAACGAGCAACCCCAGACCCCTCCTGGCACCACTGGAGTGATGGGGGCCCAGGGACACACACACACACACACATATATATATATATATATAGGCACAAGTCCCAAGATTCCCCCTATTTGCAGTATTTCCTGGATGTCCGTCTTCCTCTCCATTTCCCATGTTTCCATATTGCCCTGGGAATCGTAGATTAGTTGTGTCTGTGTTTTTCCCATCTGATAGAGGCCTCCCGAAGGGGTCCGAGTGGATGGGATCGAAAGATCGCGCTGCATCGCCGATACATCGCCAATGCATCGATGATGCACCGACGACGTCGGCGATGCATCGGCGACGTCGGCGGGGAGAAATTCGGGCTCCATATTGAACCGCATCGCCGATACATCGGCGATGCGGCACGATCGTCCGTCCCCATCTGGGAGGCCTAGGAGAACCAATACAATTCCCCCCCCAGACCCCTCCCCGGCACCACACTGGCTAGTTTTCGCGCCGTCCCAGGCCATGGAGACGAGGTGGTCCACACATGACCAAGCAAAGGTCCTGCCTGCATCCCGAGGGGGCGTGCAAGTTTCTGCACGCAGCGCTTCCGCCGCTGGGGGCAGGGGGAAAAGTGTCTGGGCAATTGTTTAAAGCTTAAGGCAGTCCTCCTGCGAAACCTCCCCTTGAGTATAACTCCTGGAGGCTTCCCAAAGCCTCTTGGAGGCTCACTGGAGGCCCCTTGCATGGTTATTCGACGATGTGCTTAATACACTCAGGGCAATAATCTGACCGACCCTGTTCTGGGTCGTTGATTTCCAAGTTGCCACTGTAAATCACATGGCGTAGTTATATCTCAGAGCGCTGTGCACATGTCACATGCCTGTTCCCCATACTCATACAACCATTTCAGTGCAGCCCTTGCTCTATTCGCATACAAGAAGCAATGCTTGGCAACGGCTTCGGCATTACCCCGACTCCAACACTACGACGACCCATGCTGCGATTCCAACCGACGTGTTGATGTGCACATATCCCGTGTCGGCACGCTGCTGAAATATTTGGCCCCCTGTTCAGTCGAAGCACGAACGCTCAGCAGAGCCGCGCCTTCGTAAAAGCTGAGATCTTTCCTTGCCCTTAGTGTCTCTAATCTCTTACTCTTCCCACTACCATGGGTGGTTACTCAACTACTTACCTCTCAAGGTTTTCGTCTGTTGGCGGGCCTCGGACGCGGGTCTCCCGAGGGCTCAAGGGATCGGCAACCTACTGTCGTATACCCCGGGTGGCCCCAGCTGGAGGAAGCTGCTGGAGGCACTCCTGGAAGGCTCCGCGCGGGCTGAAGGGGCTGGCGGACCCAATGTGGGGACCAATGCTCTTCCCATACGGCCACACGTCACCAGGACGCTTTGGCCAGGCCCCATACTTTCAGGCACCGTCGGAGGCGCCACCCGCCTCTGGACCCCTTGGTTCTTCCGGCGGTGGTGGAAGTAGTACGTGGAGCCCCTGGAGTCGAGGAACCCAGCACTGATCGCTCTGGCAGGATCGGCGACATTCCGCGAAATACATCCTCTACATGGAGGCCCAGGAGGCCCCGCAGAGGCCCCTCTGGGGGCTCTGCCTGGAAGGGACCAGAAACCAGAAGCTCCCGAGACGGCCTCTTAGAAGCGGGGAGGGCCTCCAAGAAGCCCCCGGCCCGGCCTTCTTTGTAAATGCCACAGCGCCGTAGAGCAAGTGCTTTTCCTTTTTTCGCGATTGGTGCCTGTGACCAGCCCCGCCCCTCGCCCCCAGCCCCCACTGGTCACGTCACGGATCGCGCCGGCGCCATCTGGGAGGCAGCCACTCGTTCACAGGTGGCGCCCTGCGCGAATCGTGACGTGACTGGCCCTTTCCCCCACTCCCCCCGCCGCGGTCACGCCCGTGATCGCCAGGGGATGATCTTGCGCGGGACCCCCTCCCTCTCTGGCGGGGTCGTCGGCCCACCGTGAGACACCTCCTCTCTCTGGGAGCCTGGGAGGCCCCTCCGAGGCCCCTCCTGGGGCCCTGCCCGGCTGCACCGGAGGGGCCGGGAGCTTCTGAGGGGGAACCAGCAACTCCCGAGACGACCTCCTAAAGCCGGGAGGGCCTCCAAGAAGCCCCCTGCCTGCTCGAGTAAAGGCCGCACCACAATCAGAAAAGCAGCGTGCAGTGACCCCGACCTCCCAATGACATTGGAGACGGCCAGGGGTCTGAACCTTTGGAGTCCCGAAACGGTGCGGTGACAGACCGTGCGGTGACCTCGGAACTCCAAGATACCTCACCGCACGGTCCGTCACCGCACAGTCTTGGGACCCTGGAGGGCCCTGTCGCCCGAGACATCCTCGGAGAAGAACTCGAGTGCCAAAACCGTGCGGTGACCCCGGATCCCCACTGACTCAGCGCACGGTGTGGTCACCACACCGTTTGAGGGCCCCAGAGAACTCCAGACCCCTCCTGGGGTCCAGCTGATGACAATTTTCACCCCAGACCCGGGTTTGACAGTCCTGCAGGGGCCCGAAAGCACCCCGCGGAGGCCGACACAGGCAAAACAAAAAACTCTCCGGACCAAGAACCTCGAACCTGCCCCTGTCCGAATGGCCGCAAAGCAATGCTGGGCCACCTCAGACCGCAACACCAAAGGCCCACGACCGAATCTCTCTGCGCCATTTCTCTCGAGCCGGATCGATACGTGAGGGCCCCGGGGCCCGAAGCCAGGCGAACACGCCCCGTGTGAGGCAATTGAGAAGCCAGGAGCTGAGGGCTTGTGGGAGGCCACACCACCGTAGTCTCGAAGCCGTTCGGTGACCCCGAACTCCCACTGGCGCACCAGGCGGTGTGATCACCGCACCGTCTGGGGCCCCCCGGCGATCGGCGGAGGGCCCCTGCCAAGCCTGCGCCGCCAGAGGCCCAGGCCGCCGCGCTCCGGCGGCGAGCGCAACCGCGGGAGAACGGTGGCGACCAGCGCCGACCAGCGAAGACGACGGCGGTGACCACGCCGACCACTGGGCACGCCCGATGGTTGCGAACAAACTCGGTACGATGCCCAACAGCGAACGCTGACAAACATCGGCGGCCGTTGTTGGGCAGGATCTCAAATGGACAACGTCCGTGGCGACACCGACAACGGGTTCCTTTCAAAATTGGCAACAACCAGCGTTGGGCAGCGTACCCATTCTTTCCGTACCCATTTCGATCGTGCCGAGCCACGGCGGCAACGGCGGCGACCCAGCCACCCGGAGACATGATTCTCTCAATGTGAGGCAAGGTCCCGACCCGACCCCTTCCCCAAGGCCAGTGCTTTCCACCCCTGACCCGTTATGGACGGCCCCGGGGCCCGTAAACATCAGAGGAATGAACAAAAACAGATCGTCGGAAATCTGCTCGGAGCAGGGCGGGCTGAAACAACGCCAGGCCAAAATCGGTGCCCAGGCCAATCCCGGGGCTCCAACTTACCAGTTTCCCGAGCTGAGCCCAGCCCTGGCGACCTGAGGGCCCCCCCGCAGGCCACCTGCCGTTGTCTCGGCTCGCCCTCCTCTGCTCTGCTCTGCGGCGGCGGCGCATCGTTGGAGGCCTCCCCGGCGGGGTCGGAGCAGGCGGGGTCGGAGGATCGCGCCCGGCGACGTCGGCGACGCCGGCGCAGAGCAAACCGGGCCCCACATCGAGAAGCATCGGCGACGCAGCGGCGATGCGGCGCGATCCTCTGACCCCTCCTGCTCGGACGCCACAAGTTACCAGCCTCGAACGTATCCCTATCCCTGAGATTGACACGCCAAAAAGCGTTGACAATCTCAGGGATTCGCCCTCAAAAAATGAAGGAATCCCTAAGATTGGCATCGTGACGAGGAGGTGCCCAGCATAGGGATAGGGATATGTTCCAGGCTGGTAAACAAGGGAGGCCCGGCATCCTGGCGACGGCGGCGTCGGGGCCCCTCGGCCTGCTGCTGCCGCCGCGATGCCCGACCGCCACGCGCCGGCGGCGCGCGCGGCGTGCCGCCGGGCCCGGGCAGCGCAGCGCGCCCGGGCGCCAGGGCGAGGCCGAGCGCCGCCAGGGCCAGCAGGGCGAGGCCGAGCCCGCGGGCGCGCGCCGCCATGCGCTCGGGCGTGGCGTCACGGGGGGGGGGGGGCGAAGCAGCGCGCACCTTTCACGTCTCTCTCGGGCCCCATGGGGGCCCTGTTTACGGCGGAGCAGGCGCGCCTCTTCCCTGCACCCGCCCCAGTCGTCGCCCCCCCCCCGTTGCGCCACGCCCGAATGCGCGGGCCCTGCGCTCGCGCGGGCCCGCGCGCGGGAGCCCGCTGCCCTGCGCGCGGGGGCTGCGCAGCGCAGGCCCCGCGCGCAGGCCCTGTGCGCGGGGCGCCGGCAGCAGCGCGCGGGGGCCGCGCAGCGCAGCGCAGCGCGCGGGCCGCACGCGCGTCAGGGGGTGTTAGTA